TTAATAAAATTATAATATTTAATAAATTTAATAAATATAATATATCAATTTTATATGCTTATTTGACTGAATTGATATTAAATTGTAGCCAATTTTAGGCTGATTTATGGTTATTTAAATTCTGAATTGATACCGGATGATGCTGAATTGAGGCTAATTTTAGGCTGATTTATGGTTATTTAAGTTCTGAATTAATGTCAAATGATGCTGTATTGAGGTCAATTTTAAGCCAATTTATGTTATTTAAGTTTTAAATTAATGCTGAATGATGCTGAATTAAAGTCAATTTTAGGCTGATTTATGGTTATTTAAGTTCTGAATTGATGCCAAATAGCTATGTCTGATTGGAGTTAATTAGCATCTATTAGCGTCTAAATTGTTACTGAATTGAGGCCAGTTTTAGGCTGATTTATGATTATTTAAGTTCTGAATTTGATGCTGAATGATTGGAGTCAATCAGCATCTATCAACGTCTAAATTGTTGCCAAATTGAGGCCAGTTTTAGGCTGATTTATAGTTGATTTTAAGTTCTGAATGGTCATATCCCATTGGGTCGATCAGTGTCTATCAGCACCTGTTTGTGCTGATCAGAAAATATGACAAATCGGCCATAAATAGTATCAAATTCAGTCTAAAATAAGCTATCTGATTTTTAGCCGATTTGGACTATTTCGACTAGTGATTATAAGGCATATAAATTAATTTTTTTGCATAATTTACCTTTAGATCATATTATTACATTTTCTATTATTTTTTAACTAATAGAATATAACATTGGTATCCAAAAAATAAACTGAGAGAAATAATTCATAATGTAATTAATGAGGTGTAAAACCTTGACTAACAAAATTCAGAAAAGTATTTGAAACTTGTTGATATTTCTTTAAAGATTAGTGATTATTATTTTATTAGATTTACATTTCTAAATGATAATTGCACAATATAATTGTTTTAATTATGTCTTTACACAGACAGATAACTCAAAAAAGATAAATATAATATCAATATGGGTATTAAATGAATACAGATTAAAATTAACAATAAATTGCATTATTTCAATGCGCAATCAAAAGGATAGCCTTCATTAACTAGGGCTGAAATACACAGGTAGAATGATAATAAATCAGGTACCAATTGGTTATCATCTAGTAACCCAGATGATAACCAATTGGTACCTGATTTTTTTTTATTTAGAAACTCGATTGCTATCATAAAATAGCGGCAAAGGAGTACAAACAGATTCAAATCAGGGCATACAAATCGGGTTCCTATCAGTCACTAATTTGATACCAATAGGATATACCTATTGCTATAAATTTATTTAATTGTTAATACCCCAATTGATATTTTCGATCTTCTAATTGATTACAACATCAAATAAAATTTTTCAATTACAAAAAAATTTATTCAATAAATTTACTTATTATTTACTTATTTAGCATTTATTTATAGCAGAAAAAAAATATAAAAAACTGAAAAAAGCTGAAAAAAAACTAATTTAAAATTTAAATATTGCATTGATTAATCGTCGTCCTTCTCATAATCACTATTATATTCTGTTAATATTAAACTTCTACTTCTTTTTTCTCTATTCCCATTATTCTCCTTGAAACTGTCAGCATAGTTTCCATTATGATTATCATTCTCCTCTTTAACATTATTCATATCTTCATGGATTGGAGAGTAGTTAACATTACTATATCTTCCAATGTATGACTTTAACAATCTGTTGTATTCTGTTTTTGTCCAAGCAGGAGCATTCACAGGTGCCTTTTCTTCATTTGGTGCAAATTCTACATAATTATACATCCGTTTTCTCATTCTGCGTACCTTCGAAACTTAGCTGAATTTAATATTTATGTAATCTCGTAAAAAGGTATGCAACTATTAAAAAATATTAATTAATATATGCTGATTGGAACTAATGATATAATAATATTCATTACTTACCGTTGAAGATTGCCACTTAATGTCTCTAATGACGATCTTTTGTTTGGAACATTCGTCGTCAGTTTCTGATACCTTTGGACTATAGTATTGATTATCGGTGAAGACTGGTTGAATTTCGTCATTATAAAATTTTTCCAACAACTGATCATCCAGTCTTATTAATTTGCTAATTGTTCTAGCCTGTCTTTCTCGTTTCTAGATGGCAAAAAAAAATTAGATAAGGTTAAAAAACAAATAACATGATCCTTTATTAACCTCTATATATCGTGAATTAGCGTGCTTTCTCTTTTTATCATTATCAGTCCACTCGACGCTTCTTTTTTGATTTAGAAATTCTTCCCGTTGATGATGGTGGCATTTGTAGATATATATTTGATTATGCCATTCACTATTGGAAATGTTTTTTTGTTGATTGATTTTTATACTATCAGAATGATTTTTTGGTTGACCAATTTTCGTTGGCTTTCAACGTTTTATTCATGTCTAATTTTTGACTTTCTGGTAGTCTGTCTATAATTCCTAATATTTCAGACTTAATCACAAAAATACATTAACTATTAGCAAAAAAAATTGATAAGTATAAAACAAATGAAAATAAAGAAAAGATTACCCTTAACGCATTTCTTAATTCCTTATCCATTTCATCATAAAAGAGATAAGTAGAAGAGAAAGGAGCAGGAGGAGGAGAATGAGATGATTAGAATGATGATGAGTTTCGGTTGATCTTTTTCTGACCCTGATTGGAAAGATTTCTTTTAAGCTCAGGTCATCTTTTTCGTGTTCATGATTTTTCCAATTGAGGTCTATTATCAAATGTTCTTTCCTGGCTTCTACCTTTATCATCATATTGTTTAGAGGCAGAATCCATGATATAAACTGACTTTGATGAATAAGCCTTTTTGGTCATATTTTTTGAAGAGCCAGGCTGCCCGTATCGAGAGGTTGATGTGAAGAAATTTACTTCGTCATTCGTCCAATCAATTATTATGTCTTTTAGGTCTATTTCCTTTTGTTTTCCTCTTGCAATGATCATTATCAAACTTTTAATTTTATCTATTTAGGCCTGTAAAGCATCTATTATTTGAAAATATAATCAGAATGGCAATATGTATTATGATCTAATTAACAATACATGTATTATACAATAAACAATCATACTGATTGATTTTTTTTTCTTTTTCTTTCTCTCCTTCTTTCTCTTTTCCTATCCCTTTATCTTTTCTTTTTCCTTAGACTATATTGATCAAACTGTTTTTTTTCTTTTGTTTTGATCGATATGGTTCTTCTTCACAAAACTTCTCAGAATCAGTTTTAGAATCATTAGAATAGAAGAAAATAGAAGAAATTAAAAGTAAATGGTAATAAATGAAGAAAAAATATTAAAAATAATTGATTCATAACTAAATATACAGTTTTTTGCTGCTTTCATGTTGTTTCTTTGGAATAGGTTTCTTCAAAGAATTACCTTTTTTTTATTTACTAAAATCGATAAAATCCTTTTACGTTTATTTCCATCAGAAGACTCTTTATCAGATAAAAGACGTTTATTAGATTTTTTGTTAAGCATGTTTTGGAAGATTTTTCTTTTATTTGGAAGAAACTTTTAATAAAAAAAGAGAACATGGGTTCTTTTTAGATATTTCCAAAGGAGTATCAATATCAAACTTTTAACCACAGAACAACATAGTTATTGGAATAAACTTTCTTTACATTAGTAATAAATTAGAAATTTTGGTTGTAAAAGTATTAGTAATCATTGGAAGCAAACTTTCAATAATTAAACATATTGGTTGTAAAATACTAGTAGTTGTGAAAAGTAAACTTTCAATGAAATTTTGATAAAAATGCTATTAGTCATTGTAATAAAATTCTTTAAATTGGGAAATTTTGTTTGCGATTGTTGAAATAATAGTCATTAAAAATAAATTTTCTTATGGTAGTAATAGATAGGATAGGTTGATAAATCTATCTGACCGATTGGTAACGTTTGGACTTTTATTTTATCGCAAATTTTGTTCTAATAGATAATGAAATTTTGCGATTCAAATAAACTTTAAGCTTTTTATACAAATGATAATTTTATAAAAAGCGCAGTAAAACCAGAATAAATTCAAACCTAATATATTAAATTTTGCCTTAGAAATCAATTATAAAATCAGCATTAGCTGCATGTGAGCATATTTTATTGATATAATATACTTAGTGATTTAAATAAAGTATTTTTATGCGAAGACATTTTATTGATATCATATACTGATTGATTTAAATAAAGTATTTTTATGCGAATATATTTTATTGATATCATATACTGATTGATTTAAATAAAGTATTTTACTGATATTTATATGCTTGATTCAAATAAAATCTATATATATATATACTGATTGGAAATAGCTAAATATTATAAATATTTATTTCTTCTTAAATTGAATTTTTTATCAAAAAAATGCCAAAACTAAAGAAACATCGTATTAATAAGGATCGTTCAAAAGCTATTCATACTGATACTAAAACTAGAAATTTAGTTGAATGCAAATATACATTACATTGTTATGGTAGTAGATGGGTAGATCCTAGAACGTTTGATAGACATCAACAAGAAATAGAACGGTTTTGATACATTACTTTTGGACAGCGTTATTCTTCAACCACAAGAAGCATTAAAAATAATTCTGTTGTAACTGAAACAGTATCAGCTTTAAAAAGAAAAAAAGTAATTAAACCAGTTGAACAAAATCACAGTTCATATGAAGTTATACCTAATGATGATGAACTAACTCCAACCATTCTAACGGATCAAAATTTAATCAATGTATTAAATAAACGAAAACATTATGTGATAAAATATAATATTCTTGATCATGATGATCCAGAAATTGTTTCAGATCTATCAGACGATAGAGAAAATTATGAAATTCTGATTAATGATGAAGAGTCTTTTATAGAGGAAGATGATCATGCTTTGAGTGAAAACAGTGAAGATGATATTCTGTTTGAGCAATTTACTGCTCCTGATTTTGATGATTTTGATTCTAATTTAGAACATAGATATTTTAATACGAACATTAATTTCGATGATTCATGGATAGTGTTATAGATATTCAAGTATCAATCAAGATTCTGCCTTCCAAACACTGCTATTGACACACTTATTAGATAGTTTTGTTAGAAACTGATTGATTACGATTTAAAGGTTTCCCAACAAGTTCTCATATGGTAAGAAAATTATTAGGAGTCAAAAGACAAGAAAAGACATACGCAGTATGTCCAAAATGTAATGCTTTATATAAGATCTTAGAAATCTTGACAAAAAATGCGACTGATCAGTTGAACTCTGGATTTAAATGCACCTATGTAGAATTTTCAAATCATCTGAGATATAGCAGGAGACAGCTATGTGAAGCTGAGTTGATCAAACATGTGCCAGTAGTAAAAGCTATATCAAAAGGCCTAAGATCGTCTTTCCTTTACCATCTTTAAGATCAAAAATAATTGCAATGTACCAGCGTCCAGGTTTTGAATCTCTTCTGAGAAAATGGACAAATCAGGATACTGGAATCAGCATGATGTCAGATATTTATGATGGCAAAATTTGAAAAAATTTTCCTTCACGACTTGATACAAGCGATTCTCGATTTTTCACACTGGAAACAGCCGATTTTCATTTAGAAATTATTATTAATCTCAATTAGTTTTAACCATTCAAATTATCAGCATACAGTAATGACATGATTTATAGAGCAATATGTAATCTTTCTCGAGAAATCAGATTTAAACGAAAGAACATGTTATATCTAGGATTACTACCAGGACCAAGTAAAGTCAAACTGCATAGAATTAACCATTATCTCTTTCTGATCATTGATGAACTGTTAGAATTCTGGAATAGGATTAGGCTGTCAGCCACATATGATCATCCTACTGAAAGAAATGTTCGATTAGTAATAATATGCTGTTCTAATGATATACCAGCAGCAAAAAAGATTTGTGGTTACATATCAGCATTGTCCGCATGCCATAGATACTATAAAAAAGCAAATACCAGTGGTAATTTTGGTGGATTCAATGACATGACCGATTGGTTTCAAGAACGTAATCTTAAAGAACATTAACAGAATGCCAAAAGATGGCGACGGTGTAAGACTAACGATGAAAAGAAACAATATGTTTCTATAACACTTGTTAGGTGGTCAGAAATGTTAAAGTTACCCTATTTCAATCTGATAAGACATCTTATCATCAATCCAATGCATTGTCTTTTCCTTAAAATTGCACAGCAGATTATTAAAAGATTATGGATTGATAGCGGTAAACTCACCAAATCAGACCTTGAACTGGTGGAAAAAAGAGCAAAATCTATCAAGTTCCAGCTGATTTAGGAAGAATTCCTTACAAAATCGCTACTGGTGAAAGGTTTTCTGGTTATACTGCAGATCAATGGAAGTCTTTTATTCTTATTTATGCAACTCCATTAATGTGAAATCTTCTATGTACTTCTGATCAAAAGATTCTAGCCAATTTTGTAAGAGCTTGCTTTTTACTTATTTGTCGAATTATTGATAATAATATATTAAGTAAAGCTCACAATCAATTATTTTAAGTAGCTCTTTTAATTGAAGAATATTATAGGTAGGAGATGATAACTTCAAATATTTATTTGTCTTTACATATTACTGAATGTTACCGTGATTATGGACTATTGTATTCTTTCTGGTATTATTCATTTGAAAGAATGAATAGATTATTAGACAAATAATTATAATGATTGTTATCGATACTTTAATTCATATTTAATTACTAATTTTTTGTTCTCTTTAGATTTTTTTTCAAATAGTCAGCGATATATTGAATTAGAACTTTTGCGTATTATTACACAAAATTCAAGATTAGACAACCTAATTTCTAATCAATCGAATAATCCTAAGCTAACTGAAATGCTCGAATTAGTGAAATCTCGGCCAACAACTGGGAGTTTAACATCATATGATAGATTTGATTTTGCTGAATTATACTGATTCATGCAAATCTTCTATTATAATCTTGATGATACAATTACCGGTAACGAACAATTCTTTAGAAAAATGATTACACTGAGAAAAAATAATATGTCTCTACCAGATGATATTTATAAAATATTAGTCTAATATTATAATAATGCATACGATTAGAAGTTTGTGACGATCGCTAAAGTGGCTTCTGATGAATTGGTATCAGAAGACTTTATTATTGTATTACTACATGTGAATCAATACAGATGCATTCAGATTGGAGCTGAAATCTTTAGAGCAACGATAGTACTAAGGTATTTGAAAAATTCGTATGTTATGGCTAAATTTATACAAGACAACGAATCAAACAGATATATTTCCCGGTCAAGTCCAATTTTTTTTCACACATGCAATTGAACTTCCAATTGGTGTAAGAATACATCATTTGGCTTTCATAAAATGGTATCAGCCAACGCTTAACCAACAAACGAGATTTCATTGTAAAATCAATGATAATAACGATAGTTGTAATATCGAATTTTGGAAAAATGAATGTTATGAAATTGATAGAAATAGTATTATTCTTATTCATAACATTTATAGTCGATTTATACCAGGCAAATTTATAATAAGTAAAAGAAAGCCAGAAACGTATATGACAATTATACCTATTAATAGACAATTTAGCTTATAGATATATAATTGGCTTCCAATCAGTTTCAATATTTATCCTTCTCTGTTCTGACGTTAAATATAATTTTTTACAGCATATATATTATTTTTCATAAAAATCGTAGCATACAAGTACCAAACTATTAAAATAAACAATTGTGTTTTACATATTTCTTTAGGGCAATTTATTATATTTATTTAATTTATTACTCAAAAATAAACTAATCGGTAATTAAGATTCAATAGCAACAATCAGATAATTCAAATTAAATACTAATGATCAATCAGGTTTTAACCTTATTGATACCTGACTGTAATTATAACCGATTTGATTATTATTGAACATATAGTTTTGATTTTTTTAAAAAAGTGTTCAATCGGGTTGGGTACTCAATTGAACATCGTTCTACCTGTGTAAGTATTGTTATCTTTTTTTTTATTATCATTTATATTATTGTAAATTTTTTCACTTGATAAAATATATGATTTATCTATTTCATTATTTTTTTTAATTTTTTTTAAGTTTTTGAGATTTTTTATCATTATATCTCAAATGTTGAGTTTTACTATTATAAGAACTACAAAATGTATAAAAAAATAGTTTTTTAAAATTATTGTTATAATCAAATTTACTATTAGTATCAAATAAAAGCTTACTTGCTTTCAGAAAATTTGATTTAAAGTAAAAATGTATTAATATATTTGCTGCTTATACTTTAGATACTTTGTTCTTGATAGCTGTTTGCTTTTTCGTAATTACATGAATTTCTAAAGACTGAAAATAATATAAATACTTTTAGCATAAATAACAAATATCTAAAAGGTATTTACAAGTAAGATTTTCTGTCATTTAAGTAGTTTAAAATGTGAAAAACTACTTTCAACTTTTTTTTTCATAGTTTTTATTATTGCATTATTAATTATTAAATTAAAATTTAATGAACACCAATGACTTGACCAAAAATTGGCTTTTTCAGTTGTTTTCAGTTGTTTTCAGTTTTAGGCTAGATAATTTTAATTGATTCATAAATCACTTGATTACAGTAATTCGAAAACAGTTATAAATAGATTAGTTAAATTTAATATTTAATATTAATTTTAAATTTTAATTAATTATAATTAAATTTAAGTTAAAATAACTAATTTGATAACTTTAATTAAATAATTTATATAAAATTAAATTTATTTTAAGAAATTATAAAAAAATATATATATATATATATAAATTATTTATTAAAATATATATATATTTTTTTATATAATATATTTGATAATAATAAAATATTATTATTAAACTAATAAATTTATTAATTATAATTTAAAAAAAAATTATTTTATTAATATAAATAAAAATTACTTACTAAATATTAAAGCATAAACTTTTTTTTTAAGCTGAAATTTAAATTTAAATGTAATGTAATATAATGATTTATTTATTTATTATTTTTTCATTATTTAATTTAATTTATAATGATAAATATAAATTTTCTCTAACATTTTTATTTTTTTAAAGTTAAAACACTAATTTTACGAATTTGTGATACTGTGTTACAGACAAGTTTAATAGAACTAATGAACTTTTGGGTTATCCCATTTATACTTACAACTTTAGTGCTTAAATAAAGAAGAGTTTTTGTCTTAAACGAATATTTATTATTTAGAGTATCCAAGTTGAGCATTTTAATAGCAAAAAAATATAATTATTTAAAGACTTATGATGTGGATTTGATTATATTTCGCTAGCGTGGCATTGTTATCGACCAACAGCTTTAAGTTCTTTTATCGTTAAAGAAGCCAGCATCAAAAGTACATAAACTAAATAATTAAGCCCATTACCACGGCCTTTGCAATCGCAACTGAGAATATTATATCAGGCATAATGCAGAATATGGTTTCTTACGAGCCTAAGAAAAATGCTACTCGTCCTTATAGTGGCAATCCATCAAAAACTATTCAGGAGGGGGTATATAAAGGTGCTAAACAGCACTATGATAGTTATGCTGCGTACAGGGCACCTCCTATAGATAAGCCAAGAGGACCAAGATCCTCGAACAAAGAAGCGACTGCAAAGCTGTGGGAAGATGGGTATCAGACACAAAATTTAAATTCATTAAGTAATGTGACTGCCAATCAAAGAACGAGTTCTCCAGGAGGGAATGGCTTAGATCTTGAATCACATTTAGATAATTATCATTACATGCATGATATGGACGCAGTCTACCCTTCGCATTATTCACCGTCAGCTTCACAACATCCATATAAACAATATCAAAAGCCTGGTTCGAACTTATATCACAATCCAGCTGCAGCAAGTGCACCTTCATTAGGAACAATATCATTTGAAGAAGAGGCTGAAATCTTTGCTTCAGCGCAACAACACATTCATTATTCAAAACCTTCAGAGTATTCCCAAAACATTCCATATACACAACAACAG